TTCTCACCTTTCTCCGATCTCCAACAACACAATTTATCCCTTTGGGTTTGTCCAGATAGCAAGAGTTTAAGGCTGCCTGTATTTAGTTGTGGTTACCAACCATGAGCGGAGAAGCTCATACTAGAGCAAACTGAAAGAGGGAAGTTTTCCTTATTTAATGACGAAAACCCATCATGTGTTTTAACTGTTACAGGACTACATAGACTTCATAAGCTTCATCTGCAAGGCTTACAAAGGAAGTCCAGTGCCTGCTGCTTGCAGTGGATTGTCTGCAGCTGACGTTAGCCAAAAGGGAAGTTTGAACATTTTCACTCCGGTCTGCTATACAGTGTGACAATTAAGTCGTTATTTTCCGGCATAACAACAGCTGTAGCATCATGGGTGCGGGGTGTTACGGAGGCGGCAGCTTTGGAATAGATCCATCCATGTTGCTCTATATCATGCTCAGGCTGCTACTGTCTAAGAAAAGACACTACTGTAATTAGATTAGTCTGTTCATAAGGAGGTTACTCTACTTTAAGCTGTAGGAAAAACGTTTATGCTTTTTCTACATGATGATTGTAAGGTTCTCGTAATGATCATATGTGGATGGATCGCCTGTGAACGACGCAAGTATCCCGCGAACACAAAAACTATACCATCTTATTAAATGTTCTACATGTGTAATTTGAAGGAAAAGCAGAGTCTTTTGCTTGTAATAATTTCGACTTGTTATATGATTCAACCTTGAATATGAGAAAGTGCAATGGGGCCAAGGTTGCAGACAAGATAAATAAAATGGCTAATTCTGTCGTAGATGCCGGTGATGGAGCTTAGCAGAACAAATGTTAATAAAGGAAATAAATTTACCAATATTAGGCGCTTCCGGTGGGGCGTTTGCTCAGTTGTTCCGTTCGGGCATGGCCGTAAAACTGTGTTGATACGATGGTATGGTGGGCTGGGCTGAAACATATCACTTTCCCCTTCATTTTGGTGGGGGTGGAGCGGAAGTGTTGGGAGTTGGACGTGGGGGTGAAGATTTCCAATACTAAATATGATTAAAGCAGGTTAGTTGAGTAACAATCTGTCGATATGTCCGAGTGGTTAAGGAGACAGACTCGAAATCTGTTGGGCTCTGCCTGCGCAGGTTCGAATCCTGCTGTCGACGTAGTTTTCGTTATCTGTCTAATTGCTTTTTCCCTTTCCACGTGAGGCAATTAATTGCGTCGCAATCTCCAGAATATTTCAAATGGGAATGGGTTTCATCCAATGCCGCATTTTTCAGAAGCTTAAACTTGGGCTTCTGATTTGGCGCATAACTTGGCCCAATTCCAGCGTACGCTACCCAGTTCCACGATTCACTCTTGGACCCAACGACCGAATTTATCACCTTGATTTTCTTCTTTTGGTTTTGGAAACAAGATTATTATTATCTGGAATTAGTTCATAATACATTCTGCCGCTGTAATTTTTTCTTTTCCCTTATCAATTTCATTAATCTGCCGAGTGCCCTTTTTTCCCTCCAAATTGATAACATAATAGCCAATTTTGTTTTTCACGAAACTTTAGGGACTATTTTGATTCAGCCGCCAAAGTTTGGAACAAGAAAATTGCAATTCTCTCCTTTTCTCGTTACCTATTTTGAGATATGTTAATTTCCTTTAATTTAAATAACTTAACAGATATGTAAAAGGCACCCCTTCAAAATATATCAAATCTGATAACCACAAAAATAGTAGAATTGATAAATCAAAAAAATCTCATTCACCCCAGCTTTCACAAATATTGGGAACTACCATAAGTCACAATAAAATTAACAAGAACAGAGCCCAGTCCCCTTCTACAGCAATAGACTACTATTATTACCTTAAGGCGGAGTGAATTAGACGTTAAACAAAAGTATTGATCGAGCCTCCAAAAAGAAAATCCCATCAACGACCAAATCAACCATTTCTCTTCTAAGTAACCCCCTATTTGGCACTTGAGTTTTTTACCAAGTTTGTCCGCTATAAGTTTTTTAAAAACTTCAGCTACAGTAACCTCAAAAAACTTCTCAAAAATTTTTTTTAAACTATACATTTCAAAATATTCAAAAATTTACACACTTCAAATTTTTTTTTTTAAAAAAAACTTCTACAGTAAAATTTTAGACAAACACCCAAAAAACTCATTTATCACCGAGCCGACAATTTAAGGCATCTAGTCTTCATTTTAGAATGATTGGCAGCCGAATAAACAAAACTAGTAGAAAAACTGTGCTTGTGAATGGGGCAAAAGAATGAGATGGGCCGAGAATTAGTAAACCAAAAAAAAATAATAATAATAAATTATAAAACCTAAGTACGTAGATGAGAGCCCTGCAAATAAGACAAGGTATGTAATGTTTATTTAAGCGCATGAACGTTGTATTTATGTTGGAGAGGATACCAACATACGTGAGTAGGGCAATCATCTAGAAGAAGATGCCGTCAGCGTCACCAAAATAATTAAGTGCTAAAATAATAATTTAGCAGTAAGGTAGTAGTACATGCATAATGGAGCACCGATTAAACAAACATATATGCTGCCAGTGCAGGGAGGCAAATGGATACATGCGACGTCATTTCTTGAAGATTTGTGATGTTATTTTAATGTGGTATGGTTTTTAAACAAAAACCAATCAAATTGTTGAGGGATTATCTTAACAAGAAGAGAAAGAAGAGAGAGGATGAGGGATTATCTTACCAATTCTTTAAATTCATCATCAACTGAAAATGTATGAGATGGATATTGCAATATTGCATTGCAGAAATTTCAAGACATGGTACCGGAGAACATGTAACTTCAAAACATCCTAAACTACGAGGCCTGATTTGGGAGTTCAGCATAGGAGAAGAAAATAAAAAGAAGAGAAACCTCAAACTCAAACTACGAGGGGAAATGTTAAAATTTTTTTCATCTTGGTTAAGAACTTAGGGAAAAAGATGGGATGATTTAGGATGTATTGTCAACGCCAGTATTTTCTTCTGCTGCATCTGCAGAGTTACAGTTTGTGGGAGATTTTACAAGGCTTTAATTTAACCAGTCGTCTCTTTGTTTCTTTCCAGTGCGGAGGGAATTTTTTGTACAATCCTTCTGTTCTATGTTCTTTTTTTTTTTTCTTTCTGCCTTTTGCTTCGTTTATTTTCTTCACAGATCCTATCCAATCACCGTGCCGTGACTTTTCTGCACCAATCCCAACTGCCAATGAAATGTTACGGTAGGATGCCATTTTTAGCCGAGTACTGTGCTGTGAAAGCAAAAGATGCCAGGAGACATTCAACGTTTTTTCAATTTCTGTGCTGAAGCCTCGATCGGATTCGTCCCCGCGTCTACCAGAAGAAGAAGATCCCCAGCCATGTATAAAATCAAGAAATGGTTATTTGCTGCCGCCGGACTAACGTGATTCCTTTGATGGAGCAGATATACTCTTATTCTATTTCAAGATTTTTTTTTTTTTTTTTTGTGCAGATTTTCATACAAAATTGCTTTCAGAACAGACCATACGTCGATAACACACAGCTTTCAACCACAGACAAGACTACTCGGTGCAGCTTCATTCACACGCACTCTTCCTGTTTATTTCTCGCTTGTCAATTGGAGTACTCCACAGGCCCTGGCTGCTCGAGTAACGACAAATATGCATACCTACGCAGTTTTTTTTTTTTTTTTTTTTTAAATCACAAAATTGCAAGGAATAATGAAACAATTTGCCAACTTTATCTAAACAAAGTTACGACAAAATCAACTCGATAGCTCATCAACGAGGTTGCTTGAATAGAAGATCATTTGAAAAAAAGAATTTAAATTATTACGGTAATACTTTTTGTAATGTGATGTATGTGAGATTAAAACTATATTTGTAATACAAGTAAATATATATATATATATATTTTATAAATGATTGAGCAACTGACTTACACTAGGTAAGATACTATATACTAGCTGCATAAAGCTTAGTGTAGTTTTCTTTTGACACAAATTATCTAAAATTTGTATCAAAATGTATTCTGGATACGAAATTATTATATCAAATTTTATTTTATTTACATCAGAAACACGCTTTTAACTCTTTTTGGTTTATGTTCCCAACTGTCTTTTTTATTTTATAATAACTACTTCAAATAATAGCCTAAATGATATTTCAAATAATACTCCAAATAAGAAAAAAAAATGTTCAAAACGTCCCTCACATTTCGCTAAATAAAATTTTACATCCTTTACCTTTAAAAAGGTGACGTTACATCACTTACAAAATTAAGTTGGTAAAGTTTGCCAATTAAGGTGACATTACGCCTCGTCTAAGTCAAAGTTCGTTATTGCAAAAAGAACATGATATTTTCTTTTCTTGCAATTTTTTTTTTTTTTGGGCAGCACATAACTCGGTAAAATGTATTCGAGAATTAGATTCTAGTAATTAGTTCCCTAGGGTCATAGTAGTTAATGGCATTCAGATTGGCTCTATGAGTTGAGCAGTGCAATTGTCCGCTAATTAATGAGTTACGGCTCTATCAGGCAGGGGAGATAGATGGACCGAACAGCATAGCATTGCTCCAGCAGCCTAAAGTATTTTCCGTCAAACTTTTGTTCCACCTGTCTATGCTGCAACAACCTAAACTATTTGTCCGGATTGCTCCTCCTTTTTGCCCTAAATAGAAAATCTCAAGGATTTCCGTTCATGAATCCGTTCATGTATTTTCGCATGGTCCAATAATTGATGATTAATTGCCACAATTAGTGATAGTTTAGGGGACGGAAATGAAACCAGAGCAAACTTTAGGGAGCAAAGTGCATTATAGCTTCTCAATAAGAAATGAGAGTCAGCTGCCAACAACCAGAAAATAGTAGTAGTGTCTTGGATAACATCTTGCATCAAGGTGTGGGGTAGATCAATTAATTGCGTACAAGATGTTAATTGGAGAAGATTTATTACTCGTTCTGATTTTCAGAACCGGATTCGCAGGATTGTTTGGGAGTGTGATTGGTGGTGGGTCTATTTTGGATTGAATTATAAAGATACAATAATTTAGATTGCACGCATATATAATAATACTTGATTTCAAAAAAGCAGACAATGGTTGGCTGCTAGTCCTTTTCTTTCTGATGTGGAGGTTTCTCTAAACAAAAGTAGCGTCACTCCATCTCGTTTTTCCATTTCAATCATGCTTTCACCCTATGTCTATCGTTTGTTCTTCTAGATTCCCCTTGCATCCTTTTATTCTTTCTCTTTTTTCCTCCCTGTTAGTTTCCGATTGCAGTTATAATATCACCCAAAGAGATAAGTACTCTCTTTTTTTTTTCTCCATCCTTTTCAAACAGATGAGCAATGAGAATTGTCCAAAAAGGAAAGGGGCCGGGGGAGAGGCAGAATGCAATAGATCCTGACCATGTAAACCTGCTGTTTCCTCTCACTATCTAGACTCATTAAATTCATTCATGACGAAGGGCCATTTAGGTTTTGCAAACGAGACTGCTGATAAGTGTAGGATGAGTTGAACGACCGTGTCCAGAAACAGTGCAAGAAAGGCAAGACTCGGGGATGTTTCTGAACTCTTTTGAGATTCCATCAAAATTTTAACCAGGGTGAAGGTCGAACTCGTACCCCAGAAACGCAATCAGCTGGTACAAAATATCGAGTTAAAAGGACCGAATCCTGACTCTAACGATGTTGGAAACAAACACTTTACAAGCAAGCCAGCCTTGCCCGAGGATCCGTAAGTTTGGATTTTTTAAACACCCAAAGGGGCAAAATCAAGAACCTAAAACCTGAAAAAGGAAATGTTGGATCGATCAGTAAGTAGGACATAAAGAAGGCACCTGAAAGCTGAAAGTAAAGTGCTCTTATGTATCAAATGCCAGACCCACGTGTGCTTAACTACAAGTAGATTTCATGGCCCTTGCTTGGGGTGTGGTATCCCAGCATCCGAAGCGTCCAGTTAAATGGGGGACCAAAGAAGAACAGTACCTCGAGTAAGTACCAGTCTACCACTACCTGGAGCCCGAAGACAGTGTAGTTTACTTGCTCGTAGTTATTTGAGTGCTGTTCCCGTCCCTATTGTCATTGTGTGTGTTTATATGCACATACGCTGTCGCTTCCATTTGAAAACCCTGAAACTAATCTTCTTTATGTAGCGAAGCACAAACATTGGGGCAGACCCCTGACCAACTAAGAGGAAGAGGGATACAAAACACCACTCTTTAACATGGACAGAGAGAAAAACAGAATGAATCATAAGTGTTCTAGTAGTACCTACTAGTGCCTACATTCCCAGAATAAAATCAAATTCCAAGGCCACTTTAGCAGGTTCAATTCTCTAAGACTTCTGCCAGGAGTATCTTGGGATCAGGAATGTGTTGAGTAGGTACCATTTTCTGTCAATTTTATAGATGGTGTTAAAAATCATGCGGAGTTTTCCTAAAGGGCGAAAAAATGATAGTAATAAATTACTCGTTACTTGATAGCCTATGCCCTTGGCTTATCAGCATTTGCTCTTGGCATGGACTCCTACGAGAATGTGTAATGTTGTGAAATGGCAAAAAATAGAACAGACATTATTATTATTGATTTGTAGACATGCATATTTGAACAATTGCACATACCTCAATGATGAGAGAAGCCCAACCCCACTCACCGCAGGACATCGACCAGTATGAAGAATGCCATATAGTTTGTTAGTTATACACTAGACAATAGAAGAAAAAGGATGGAGAAGTACCACTGGTCTGTATCCTAGCTCCTTCCGGATATTGTCTTGGTTGCCATGAAAAAACAAAAGGGCTATCTATGTACCCAAAACAAAAAGAAACAACTAAATAGGGAAAATCAGCATGACACACGTAATGCAAGAGGAGAAAGCCGGAAACGAAGTGTTGGCAGCAAGAGAATGAAACACACTTTAATTAATATATCTATATGCGCCTTTATGTTTTGTTTTTTTTGGGCAAAATAATGCATGCGTACTTCAGCTGCCTCGTTCTAAAATTTTAACTTAAAAGCACAATTGATCAAAATAATTTCCACCGACCGACGTTCCTTCTTGCAGTTTTAGTGCAATAAGAAATTCGAGATAGCCTCATAGTCGCAATTAGAAGGCACACAATTAGTCTAGAAAATGGGGGAAATTTTTATATTAAAAAAAAAAAATTGGAAATGACGTACTGCTGGTAGTAATAAAATTTGCTATACTGTTGTCGTGGTAACAACCACAGTAGTAGGAGTACCTCCAGGCCCGCCACCACTACCACCATCACCTCCTCCTCCTCCTCCTACATCCCCACCGCCACTACTACTAGCTCCAACATCACTCGCAGCCACCGACACAGCGGGCACGGCCGTAGCAGCCGGCCTTTTTCGTTTCTTCTTCTCGTAAGGTATCCCTCTAGCCTTGGCCTGGCTTTCCCTTACTTCCCTGAGATAAATCCTAACAGCTCTAGCACCAAAAGGGTTGGATTCGGGTCTTCCACCGTTTTCTTCGTAGGCAGCTCTAAGGCGTCCTATGAGGGCGTCAAGACTGCCCCAAGCTTGCTTGAGCGGGCACTGGCATGGGGCTGGTGGATTAGGGTGCCCGAAATAAGGGCACCCGGCCACGTGCACCTTAGTTTTTCCGAACTGATCCAAGTACTTCAAGAACTCGATCACGTGCGCTCCGCTACACCGAGCTAGTGTCAGCGGCGGCTTGTGGTTCCTGAGGTACTGCAGGAAAGTGTTCCAATCTCGCCGCTTTTGCGACTCGTAACGACTGGGTGGCGCAGCCGTTGACCCGCCTACACCTTCGGCGCTACCACTCCCGCTGGCTGATGATGGCCCGGCCTCTCCTCCCCCGCTCAAGTCCGGTCCTCCAGAGGCTGAATCCATCCACCAAAAAGACCCAGAATCTAAGAAATGATGATCTGTGGCGAAGGCCACCTTAAGATTGCAGGATGATGATGTGGGTAGGGTTTTGAACTCTTCTTGAATTTGATAGAAGGATCATGTGTGGATGATGCATATAGCCCTTCTTTCTTTTTCTATCCGCAGAAGATGTAACAGAAGCGAGTAGTATTTGTTTGTGTTTTGCACACACAATAATGTAGAGTGGTGGCAGCGGTGGTGATGGTGAATGTTTCTTGGTTTCCTTCCTATTCCGTGCGTCAAGTATATTAGTAGTACTTGTTTTTCTTGCGTGAGGAATGGAAATTTTCTGTATTCAGAGCTTAGGCTGATGGAGTTTGGAGGGGTCTTTCTTTTCTTAGATAAACAGAAAATTCGTACTTTGTTTTTGACATGTGAGAAGGAGAGCGTTTTCGGGGAAGAAAGGGGGCAGAGAAGGGGGGCAGAAGAAGTAAAATGATGGGACGTAAAAAAGGAATGAATGAATGAGAGAAGTGAATTGGCGAAGTGTGAAAAACTAGTCCTACGACTGAGGAAAGAGTGTAAAAAAGGGTGCGAGACTCCTCTGGTCCTCTCCCTTGCCAAAACCGAGAGAGAGAGAGAGAGAGAGAGAACTCAGCTTATTAGTTAGGCTGCTGCTACAATGCTATTGAATACAGTTTTGATAGATAGTCTAGAGAGAGAGGGAGAGAGAGGACTACTGCTTGTGCTGAGATGGTGTGACTTGAGAGAGACACACAGAGAATCCGAAGGGGAAAATGGTAATGCTAGAATTCACGTGGTGGCCCCTCATAGTGGTGACAGGTTTACTATTCAAACATTGGCGGCCCCTCCACACTCACACGAGTCACACAGACACAATCCCTCCCTCTCTTCTTGTATTTAGGGGCGCCCTAGCCTACATTACGGTACTAGACTATATACGTCTCATTCGTACTGTTTTCTGTATTTCATTTCTGCGTCACTGTGGGTACACGCAACAGTAAATTCACATCACGCCCATGTAACAATCGCAAATCCTCAATTCTCCAAACAAACACGTACAAGTTGACTCGATTGATAATTCAAATTGATTCCATTGATAAGAAGTGCGACTATGATTTTGTTTTGAGAGCATACTTTAACTATCGCAAGATGTATAGCGGTGATCAGAAACGAATCCATTCGAGCACTCCTTACTTTAGAAGGCATTTCATTCCACGGATTGGACTATTATATGGTCAATTCACGTCATGATAAATTTGATCGAATTTCAAGAGAGAACTTGTTTAATTATTTTAATGAATTTAAAATTATGTTTAAAATTAACTTATTTATGTATCGAGTCAAACTCAGACAAAATTTTATTGAATCGAACTCAATTCGAGCTCGAGTTTTTTTTATTTTTTACCTATAAATTCTAATTTTGTGTTAATTGAGTGAAACTCCAATCGAACTTCAAAGTTTACCAAACACAAAAAAAAAAATATATTATTCAAATTTATTTTGATTAGTTAGTAAACCAAATTCGAACAAGTTTTTAGTGAACCGTATTCAATTCAAATATCGAATAGATTAATTCATGTTTTAACTATAGATATACTTGAAACGTCTTTGATGAATTTAAAGTTTAATCTAAATTTGCACGTCATTGGGAGCCCTAAATTAAATTGGCTACCTTTTCATTTTAACATATCGAACAAAAGTCCTATCTAGTCTTTCGTTCACCTGAGAGACGGTATTTGTTGTTGTATGTAGAAAGTTTACAAGGTCAATTTTAAACCATTGTAACCATTAATATTCATGTGCATCTAAACGAATGATGTCCATTCATGTACATCTGAATGGATGATGTTACGATTCCTTTAGGAAAACTTATAAATCAATAAACTAGAAAAGGCCAAAAAAAAAACCCCCTCAGATACTCAAATATGTCTATCATCTGATAGTTCAAAAGGAAGTAACCATTCATTTGTTAGAAACTTTATTTTCTCCTAATTTATTGCTACTCAAACATTGACTTGAGAGAGAGATATTACCTAATTGAACTTTAAAAGTTCAAGGAACTATTTTTCAAATTCTTACAAGCTGCATTCATTTTTATATTAAGCTACATACCATGCTGTTGGCCCAGTGCTTGTCAAAAGTTTAATGTAATGTATCTACTTGTCAAAAAAAAAAAAAAAAAAATCTACCGGTTAAGATATTATCGTTTTCAACCTAATGATGATATTGCATATTCGAAACGACAAGAATCTTACACACTTAAAGGGTGACAGGTACTGTCAAAAAACAAAGTCGATTGTTTTACCCAAAAATAGGAGAATTTAAAAAAAAAAAAAAAAAAGAAGAAGAATCAATAGCGATTTTTCACTTAATTACCCTCTTCATACTTAGATAGATTTAAATCATTTTCTCTGAGGATGGGAAAAAAAAAAAAAACCAACCACTATAGTAGAATGAAAGTTGAGAGATACGTCCCATGGAGTGTATAATAATGTCTGTCATTTTGGATTACCGGAACTTTCAGAACAAAATGTTGATTTTAAGAATGTAAATGAAATCCTATACATATGTCGCACTCCTCATTTTTAATTGACCCTCAAATTGATCCTGCTGAATCAAGGGCACGGTGATCAGTATATATATCTTGTACGGCTTCCATAGCTGTGCTTGGATTGGAGCTTATACGGAATGGTTTAATGTCCTGCATGGGAGAAGTTGGATTCCTGGATTTGGATGGATGGCTGGCTGGATGCGAGTAAGTGTGCGATGGTGTCTCATAATTGGATAAAGTTTGCTAGTATACTTCTGCCAAATGCAATTCTAGTCAAAGATTTAGTGCCCGATTTTAATGCGCTACATTGCTGTCCACCAAATTTAAGAGGAATATATTTGGATCCAAAGCATTTCTATGGACCATCTTACACTCAACTTTTTCTTCCCCCAAACAAAAAAGAATAAATAAACCAATAGCCATTTAGGCTGGCGGCTATCCCCTAGAGATTTTAAATTTTTGTGGGGCGGAAGATCAAGAATTCAAATCTCGTTTTCCATCACTTGTCATAATATGTGATTTTTTTAAATTCATACAAGTAATCCGATGTGGTTCAATTTCTGTATCGATTACCCATAGGTCCAACTAGACCTTCCCTCTTAGATTATATTAGAGTAGGAATAGGTGTAGTATAGATAAATGAGGAATGACAAAAAACAAAAAGGTTAATATCACTTTATTCTCTTAAACTATATCACTACTATCAATTTACTCCCTAACGTTATCTTTTGGTTACTTCACATCCATAAATAATTCAACTCAATATATTAAGAAATTTTGGACAAAAATATCCTTTTATTCTATAGCATTACTGTATTATTATTAACACTTTATCCCTTAAATTATAATGATATAATCACTTTAATCCCTAACATTATTTTCTAGACATTTTACCTCATCATTAATCTAACTAGTATGGTAAACATTTTTTAAATGTATTTACCCATTTTTTATAAATAATGAAAAATAAAAAGGTTGGAATGGTTAGTCTTTTTTTCAATTTAAGAGATTCAAAAACATAAAAATAAAATGATTTTTTTTCAAATTTCTTTTTCACATTTATTAATACTAGGAAATGAAAAAGAGATATGAAATAAGAAGATAAAAAATTAGAATTTACAAAGAAAGAAAATAAAGAAAAGTCTAACATTATCGTATTACTTAAGATTGTCGGGATTAGGATTGGAATTGAGTGATAAATAGAAAAGTAAAATAATTTTAATATAATAAAAATATTAAATTCTTTCTTATTTGTATTTAAAAAATAATAATTGAGCTCTCTGTCTGTCTCTCTCCACCTCCCCATCTTTATACTTTTTCAATATTAATAAGATTGTCAAAAAGAAAGAGATTAATCATTTGTTTATTTTTTCTTAATACTAAAAAGGAGAAGAGTCACTTTAAATTTTATATTATTTTTATTATACAAAGAGGAGAGCACTTTTTCTTAATTTTTTTTTAACTTGCTAAATTGGTATAATGGTTAGATAAATTATTTTAAAAATAACTATAGGGGATAAATTGATAATGAAATTATAGTCTATAGGGGTAAAGTGATAATAATTTTAAGGACTAAACATGTCTTTTCACTATAATTAACAAATTCCGTTAAGTTTAACCGTTAGTGTTAGAGGTAGACTAAAATATAACGTTAAGGGAAAAATTAATAGTGATACTAAAAGTTAAAGGGTAAAGTGATAATAATATAAAAAATGAATAAATAAATAAAACTAACTCAGCCTTTTCTTCTTCCTTGTTTTTTTTATTAATTTGTTTTGGTGTCAGGACCAAATTACATTTGTGTTTGAATAAGATATTATTTAAAATATTATTAAGAATAATTATTGTAGCACTTTTTATGATATAATATGTGTGTGATAAAAAAAAGTAATTGAGAAGATAAAAAATATCCGTTAGAAAATGTATGTGTGATGCAAGTAAATCATTTTTTGATAAATAATTCCTATCCAAATTTATCCTCCACTGACTCCACGCTCTCGAAACATTTTTTCTGCACTAATGTTGAATCATTCGAAGGATATTTAGTTTTGGCATTTTAAAAAATTAATATTGTATATGTCGCAGTTGAATTAACTATAAGACTTTACAGTTACGGTTAAAGGGTACACAGTAAAGATACTACATATAAAAACCATGAGGATATTTGGTACAATTTTTTTTCCTTAAAACTATGAGTATCTACCACTTGTCCTTTTAGACTGATAAACTGATAATTAAATTAGACACCATATGAGTTTGTTGTTGAAGATAAATTGTCTGGTTTTGCAAGAGCTCACAAGAGCTTGGAAGTAATTTAGGCCCCGTTTGGCAAGTGAGTTTTTTGAGTGTTTGTCTAAAACTTTACAGTAGCTTACTATATAAATTTTTAATTTTTTTTTTGAAGTGTGTAAACTTTTGAATATTTCGAAGCGTATAGTTTAAAAATTTTAAAAAACCTTTTGAAGTTACTATAATTAAAATTTTTAAAAAATTTGTAACAGACAAACTTGACGAAAAACTCAAGTATCAAACAGGGTCTTAGGTTGGACGAGGCAACTGAAGTTGGAGTGAGAGCGCCTCAAAATATGAAATAAAAATAAATTTGAGAGGACATGCGCGCGCGCATATATATATATATACAAGGGCATTTTCCTTTCGATTTGTTTATTGTATGTGCATTGGCTTGAACTGCTAGTGCCTGATCCTCTTACGTGGGAAGCAAGAGATGGGATGACCCGCTACAATGGAAAGTAGACGGGAAACAATAAGAGGGAAGACTACATTCAAGGATTGTCGGCAACGATGGGAGTCGGTTCAATGGTCAGGAGATTTTTTTTTTTTTATAAAATTATTTTGGTTGTCAGATTTAAAATTGATCTTTTATTTTTGACAATTGAGGGTCGAAGGATTTGGAGAAGGGGGAGGGTGTTTAAAAAAAAAAAAAAAAAGATTGTTGGCATTTGGGAACAATTCCGAACTTGATTGATAGATATGACCTATTGAGTACAGAAATGATGCGTTTGAGGAAGCATGATTTATATATGCTCTACTACTACTTCATGGATGGATATTCATCCATCGTCCCAAAATAGAGGCTAATTACTTAAAATATACGTAAAAAAAAAAATATCGCACAAATGTATCTCTAACAGACACCATTTCTCATTTTATACTGGCC